TCGTGACTCTCTGGTACAGCACATTGCTGCAGAAGAGAGAGGGCCTGGATATGAGAAAAGACCCCGAACTACAGAAAAAAAAAAAAAAAAAACAATGTGAATTCACTCCTCATACATCTCACTCCTTTTTGATCTGGCTGCATTTGTGAACATCTGCAAAGCTGCCTTCCTTTGAGCCTGATTCACACCAGAGCAAACATCCACTATGACATCATTAGGGCAGGACAGTCCTGTGCCTTTGTATTACCTCCCGCTTGACATCTTGAATTCCAAGACTTCAAATAGTCTCTCTCGCTCTCTCTCTTTTTTTTTTATATATAAACGTTATTATAATGGTCCAATTCTTGGACTTACAAAGCCTGTCATGGTCCTCTTGCAATATGTAAATTCAGTACAAAAAATAGCACAAATTACTGGGTATTTAATACATTTGTGTGGAATACAAAACTAAACAGATGGAAGCAATTTAAAAAAAAAATCTCATTAGGAGGGGTGTGGTGGGGGGGGTTACAGTGTCCTGTCAGTAGGTACATTGTTTAACACAGTGCAGCCTAACAAAACAGGATGATAATCTCATTCTTCACAGGCTTCTAAGACAGTCTACCAGCGCTAGTAAAGTATAAAAGTAATTTGCATATGGTACACCTATACAAGTGCACACAGTATGTCTTACAGTTCAATACTCAACTAAAATCTATTTCCAGTGTACAAATACATAACATTTATATGAACAGTTTACTTATAAACTGTAAACCTCATCAATGTGCCTTCTGTAAATTCTCACAACATTCTTAATAACAATATGAAAACACCTTCACCGTTAACAAGACGAAACACGGCATCGATTCAGATCGATTCACATTCCTCAGCTGCCTCCAGTAGTAAATTAGTTCTAATCTCCATGTATCTCTGAATGCCTAGTGAATTCAGATTGATCATTTCTTTGAATGGATTATTTCATTCTTGTCAAATATGTTGCATGACATGCTATTCTGACAAATAAAAAGTCAAGCATTAAATATTCAGTTCCATCATTTTGACTAAATATTTACATACCAGGAAAGGCTAATTTGCTTGTAAAGTAGCTGGTCTCTGCCTCTATACAATTGCATGATCAAAAAATATCCAATTTTTTTTTTTTTGTCCAATCAGAAGAGAAATAACAGCAATGTCTTCACTTGACGGTCTGGACAAGTGCAATTTAAAAAGGAAATAATAACTACCCTGTTAAGAAAATAATAAAGAAAAAACAGCCACCTTTATGGTATTTGCTCTGCTGTGCAAAAATTAGATCAGCATAGTATAACCATCAAGTTGAACTCCAACAGTGAGGATGTACTTGAATTTTGCCTCTTTCGACAAGTGTCAAGCATACTCCAGCAACAGCCCACAAGCTGCTAGAGCAGACAGCTCGTTTGGGCCCTAGTGCATATACATTGTGACTTGTATTGCACATAATTCTTCCTAATGGCCTTGGGCTTCAAAATGCCACTTTGTCTGAAATACGAGGCAGATCTCAGAATTTTCTATGACAGCAACTCCTGCTTCACATTAAAATTTTCCAGATCTTCTTCAAGGCACTTCTGCCAATACTTGAGCAATACTAAAATATTCCATTTGTAATCCATACCTAACTATAACATGAGTGTGTACTCAGAGTGCATAGTAAAGTAGTGATTGTTTAAATGGATGTCATCACCTGTTATTTGAAAAGAGCAGATTCATAGTATTAAAGCCTGGAATTGTTCCTCTGAACAACAGCAAAGGCATTTGTGAAATGTGCAAAAAGAGCCAGTCAATAGGCAATAGCTTGACAAGGCAGAGCAAGTAACAAAGGCTAAATGCTCACATACCACAATTAAAATTCCCTCCACAAAACAGCTTGTTCTTGTCATGCAAGTATGGCAACCCTTCAGAAATGTGCTGTATTTTTAAACTCTAACACCAAGTACTGTGACCCTAACCAGAAAAAGTGGTGGGCAAATGAGTCATAAAAAACAGAGTCAGTGTGGTAAAAGCTAGAGAAACTCTGCCAATTTTTCAGTTTTTTGCTTCTGGTCAAGTGCTGTTGCCCCGCTGTAGTTCAAACAGTATGGTGGCCAGCTGGGAGCCAGAACCCACATTGTTCAGGTTACTCTGCACACACCTGTGGTACATCTCCTCGCTAAGATGTCGGTCACACGTCTGGTGCCGGTAGCTTTGACGCAAGTTGGGCTCAACTGCCCTAAACACATGCAACTTGGAATAATTAATGAACATGTCATACAAGTCCAAAGTGTCCAGGAGGTCTTCGTTCTCCTGAACGTCGGAGGCCATGGTGCTGAGCGCAGCCATGTAGTCCGAGTTGTAGAAACATGCCTCGTCGAAGATGTTGCGGTCAAAGTAACCAGAGTCTTTGACCAGGTCAATGGTGGATGGAGGATGCTTGTTGTGGAAGGCGATATCAGGGTTGTAACCTTGGAAGTGAATTGGAAAGAAGACTTGCCAGTTGCTGATGGAGTTCAACCTACAGTGACTCAGGAACTCAGAGTTTATATTAGTGTTGACACTGGCAATGAACAACAATGTATCAACTGGGAGCTTCTTCGAAATTACGTCCACGATTTTAATTTTAGAGAGGTTGTCTGCCCTAACACTAATCCATGGGATTTTTGCCGTGGGATACTCTTGCTCGTAGGCAACAATCTTCGCTTTAATATTGGCAAAAATGTCATTTTTTTCAATATGTTGTGCTTCCAGGGGGTTATAGATAAAGAGCAAAGTTAAAATGGTATTCTCAGACCTTTCAAAGCAATTTTTGGCATACAGATCAAGAAACCCGGGGGCATATTCAAGGTCATGAACAGTCATCGGAAGCACTATGTGAACTTGTGTAGCTTCTGAGACCAAAGGCATGGGTATGATTTCAACTTTACTCAACGGGCGCAGAAGGTGAACCCTTTTGATGATAGAGCAACTCCTTCCCTTTTCACTGACCACCTCAAGTTGCAGGTCCAGTGTGTATTCCATGCCTCTTGTGGGGTCAAACCGTCTGTATCCATTAACAAGCTGCTGCTTTTTCAGCTGTAGTATGGGTTTGTACTTCTTGCCTAGCTCCTCCATGGCAACCTCAATGATATCAGTGATGTCCAATTTATTGATCCCACGTAGCTCACATTTAGGTGATCCATCCGCACAAAAATACAGCTCATTTTCAGTGAAGTATTCCCATCTCAGGACCTCAAAACGAGTCTTTGGTTCAAAGGGTGGGTTTAGCCCTATAGGCCACTGAGTGCTCTTATTACCTTCAAAGGCCACTTCACTGATATTTTTTATTTCTGCCTGTATGGAGATGAACAGTTTTCTGTGTTACTTTAATGCATCAATAAAGTATCACTATATATTACAAGAAATAGAAAGTTTTTCTGCAAAATGCAAAGCCACACGGGATATTAAAGGAAGGGAAATATTGGAAGCTACAGAACGTTAAGATACTATGTGCTTGCCAAAACAACACGAATGCGTGATTCTGTGGTATCATGGCAAAAGAGCATTATGCAGCCTCGCAAGAATCTGGGACCATGTGTCAATAAGGTTATCCCTTAATTTTACGACCAATTTAGCATATTCTACACCACACAAGTGAGCACCACTGCAGACACTCCAAAAAATAGTTCATGGGACTGAAGCAGAATTATTATCCATGGGAAATAAAAAATTGACCAGCTATTGAGTATATATCTCCTGGCAATCATTCAGATCATATCATACTTCCTGCTGTTCAGAAGTCCATTATCTTTCCTCACCCAGCTTTACCCTGTTTATGTACAGCAACCAAGCTGTATGATGAACTACTCTGAATTAAAACCTGATACTACCAAATCTACATGGGCACTGCAGTTCATGTCTCTGACTTAACAGCCCCTAGATTATAGTTGTGGAATATACCACTCCACCCAGTGTTGTGCTTTGACAGTTCCTCTCTTTGTCTAAGATTGTACATAAAAATTAACAGGTACCTATGAATACATTCAATGTATTTAGTAAGCATGTTTGTCTTTTTCAAGAACCTCAAAGGAGAAGGAAGAGTTACTGATGTTGAGCAGCTTACCTGCAGTTTCTCTATTTCTTGGTAGGTTCTCTGCAACTCAATCTCAGTGAACATCTTGTGTAATTTGTACATCAGTTCAGGATCTGATATTGGATGCACAGCGATGATGTTTTTCAAGTGTAAATTGTCCCAAATATTTAGATCCAATTTTTTCCCCATTTTATAATGATAATACTTAAGACCCTAAAAAACATTATAATTGGTCAAAAAAGACAAAAAATTTTAAAGCATGCTAAGACAATTGAACATAGATGTATGGTTTCTGAATTCATTAAGATAAACTCACAAAACCCTTATCTGGTAGTCAATACTTTAACTTAATTATAGTTTTTGACATCACAAGGGGAAACAAAATTGATGAAAGCTAACAATATACCAACCTGAACTAAGTAGGTAAGCACTTGTAAGTAGAAAAGCTACTTGTCTGAATTATTGTTTTCCTATCTGAAAGGGCCATTAGCCAAGACAGTCACTCAAGACCAAAAAAGTCTTACCTCATGTTCATCAACACAGTTGATTTTTACATGATTAACAATGCATCTCCCAAGCCACTCATCTGGTCTGGTGCTCAGAATGTCATTCTGACAGTTCTCTAGGAAAGGATTTAGCTGAAGCAGCAAGGATCGGGACAGGAGATACCCATAACCTCCACGGCAGTATGTTCCCTTGACCTTCCCACCAATAAATTCCTGGGGGTGGCCCATGTAGAGGTTGACATTCATGCTCAAGTGTCCGACGAGAGCTTTCAGGTGGTCTGCCTCTGTGTATGTGTCATCCTGGCTGAAGTAGAACCAGTCATACATATCGATGTATCTCTCAAGAACATACCTGACAGTTTGGAACATGTTCCAAATGAGGGGCTCGTCACCATGGGTGACCACAGTCATGCCATTTGGGATCCTGTGATTGAGGGTGCCTGTGAAGAAGACCACCGCATCCAGGTGGTGGCTGATTGTGCGGTTCACGGCTACCCCCAGCGTGCCGACTGTGTCCTTGGATGTCAGGACACCCACAAAGAGGCGCTCACATATCCTCAGCTCAGTGCTGATATACCTGGTCCTGAGAGAACAAAGCATAAAACATTATATGCAATCTCCTAGTGTTCTTTATATTTACAATACATTTATTTATTTAGCAAACGCTTTTAAGTGATCAGAGAGCAGCGTCAAACAGTCCCTGGAGCCACTGGGGTTGGGCCTTTGACCAAATGCCCTTAATGAAAACACCACAATGGTATCTTAACTCACAACCATCGGACCACTTGACAGTCTTAACCAACAAAACCACACACTGCCCCCACTGTAGTCTCAACAACTGGATTTCATTATAAAAAGGCTGATTTGACAAATACCCTTAAGAAAGACTTTCAATGGGGACAATTGAGGTTAAATGATTGAACGACATTGGAGCAAACATGTTCAGACAACTCCATGTTGAATTAATTAGTTAACAGCTGAAAGTAGATTTTCAGCAAAGCAAAAGGTTAAAAAAACAACCTAAAAATGTAATTAACTGTGCTGTTCTCACACAAATGCAACCAAATAAGCACGCTCACTTTGTCAGACACTTTCAAATAAGAAATTAACATCACAAATAACTTTTTGACTGGGGCACACACTTTACAAATGTTATTACATTGAAGGTACAAGGGGCAAGAAATTGTTACACCGTTATGTGAACATACAACGTATGACTATAATCAAAGTTAAGTAGGAAGACAAGAAAAACTGTTTAGCATTGTTAAAGTAGGTAATTACACATCAGAGCAATATTTAAATTAAATGTATATAAAATATGTATTTAATTACTTTGAGCATTTTGTATTTTTGCTGGACAGAAAAATTATGTCATTTGTAACAAAATACTTTGAGAGACTGTATTTTATGTATTAAAATGTTTCAAATACTTAAAATATCTTTTTATTTATGTATATATTTGTTTGTGTGTTTATTAATTTATTTTCTGTTATTTTAAGGATCTTCATCACCAGGCTTACAGACTTTTAAATACAGCCTATCACCATCTTTGGCTAGATGCAAATAAATCACGTGACATCCCGTTAGGCCCAGCTTGCTCGTTGGAAACTTCGTTTCCCATAACCAGTAATCCGAGCAAAGAAGCTGCTTTGGTGCTCAAGGCAAATTGCCTTAAGGTAAAGTACACTCTCAGATATCGCTCACTGAATGTCATTATAGGGACAGAAAAATTGAGTAATTAGCAAACAGCAGTGCTGTACTCTAGAACTTGTGAATTAACTTGCTTGCATGATTGTGGCATTCTAGTTCATTTAAACAGACAGTGGCATCCTTTGGTTTGTAATATATGGAAGACTTAGGCCTTGTCCACACATACACGGGTATTTTTTTTTAACGTAGCTTTTTATGTGCATTTTAGCCTTTCCTCCACAGCCAAAAGGTGTTTTCGCACGCCACACACAGCACATTAGTCATATAAATAACATAGGCCAGCTATTTATGCAAAATACTACCGGCGCTTGGCTTACCGATATGAAATGTATAGTATAATATATTAGTATATCTGAAAAACGTTTCTTCTTTGACTTTCCATGTACTCCGCAACCTACTGTAAGATAAAGGCGGAAATTAACGCATTACGATCATTTAAGAAATCGTTGGTGTGCCGCCCATCAGCCATGCTACTAATTCTGTGGGAAACACAGTATAAATTTAAGGGTGTAATGGTTATGAGACGAGACCGAAACCACAATACATTTATGATCCCATGTCACGGTTCCGGAATCGCAACACCCCCACTGCAGCAGGTGCAGCCTGTTGAGCTCTCATTACATTAGCAAATACAGTGGTTCCTCGGTTCTCGAACTCACTAGAACTCGAATTTCTCGAACAAACCAGTTTGACCTAGAACTCGATATGAATATCAGAAGTCGAACCGTGAACGCTGACCTAATATAAATTGTACGCGCCAGGAAATGAGTCATACTACAAGGCAATTCTTACTTTAATGCCTTCTTCACTGACTGGACAATTAACCAAATAAAGCAGCGCAACATTACAGTAACTAATAACAAATAAACCACT